TAATTGTCTAATACTGTATCTACCTGAAATTATCTGTATACTGTAGTTATATTTCTAAACTTCTTACTAGAGTCCTAGAATTGCTTAAGATGCCCGTCGACAAACCGCACGATTACGTCCGAGAAATACGGACGCGATTATTTTTCTGGTAGAACTAAATGAATACGAGCGTTATTAATTGTACCAAACTACCCTTATCTGTGTATAGTAGTTGACATTTACATCTGTAAATGTGTTTGCAAATGGCTAACTCTTGTAATTTCTTATTTTAGGCTTCTCGCCCTGCATCCAAAATCTTGCGTGTTGTCTCCCACTGGTGGATATGTAAATAACTGGCTTGTTGGTCTATATTTGGCACGTGTTGATAGTATTTTTTTATTTAGAATAGTCTTTCCAAAAGAAAATTTTCAGTAGATACATTTGATAAACAAAAATCTTATATATATATGGTGTTTCCTTCATCATATTTTGGGAATATATCATATAATGCAATTTTACTTCTAAAATAACAATTTCCACAGTTTTACTTTTTAACTTAATAATTATTTAACATTAATATTTGGTAAACAAATGATAGAAAATAAATAACAATTGATTTCTTAAGACTTAATAGAATTTCACTTTGAAATGAAATCAATTAGACTTAAAATATTGTATTTGTATTGATACTGTCATTAATATAAATACAATATACTTTATACTTTTCTCTCAGAAATGTAACTGTTCAGAATCAATTTCATATCATTTATTATTTGAAAGTAAGTTTAAATGATGATTTTATAATATTTTCATTAAATTTGATTTAGTCAAAAGTAGAATATAGTGATTATGTTTGTTTCTGACTCATTTTTATATTGCTACAGAAGAATGTAGTATATATGTTCTTTCTTCTTCTTTTGTTTGATAACTATTTTCTTTATTTTTTTTCTTACGCTCACGGTTGATTATCTTCCAGACTTTTTGTTTTTATAAGTTTTTTATATGACCTTTTGCGGCAGTGTTTATTTTAATTTTCCAACAGAGATATATTTTCGTACTTAATGCTATATTAATACATTTGAACCATTGATTGATCTGTTTTATGATTTTCAAACAGGCAATTTTGTTTTTAAAACAATGGTTTTATGAAAATTGTTGATAAATTTTTAAATTGATGTGAATAAAATGCTTGTAATTTTTGTATTATGATGAATTTAATAACAATCATTTTTTCATATAAACTAATCTTTATTAATATAATAAATAAATTTCTCAGATTTTTATTTAGAATTATTCTTTTAAATTAAATCTGTATTCAAATTAAATTTAATATTGAGTGAAATAAAAAAAAAATATTTAAGAGATGATTATTAGAATGTATTTTATAATTATAACACAATATTTATTTAACCGAGGANCTACAGTACTAATTTGAGTTATGATTTTTAAATGAAATAAATTGAAAATATGATAAAAAAAAATTGCAGCCCGGCAGTGTGACGATGTCACAATAAATAATTGTTCGTATATATTTATAAATAAATAAATATATGTATATATTCTTTTTTCAGCTAGTTTCAATGTAGTTAGATGCATTTAATTGGATTGACATAGATGAAAAAAGACAGTTAAAATTAGCATTTGTCCAATCTGTCTTCATTAACTGTTTTTATGAAAACATTTCTGTGTTTTCTATTTAAATAATTTTTGTTTAAGATTTTATTGGTAATCAAGCTCATGATATAGTTTTCTAAATGTTTATATTACGTTCAATTGTTCTAAAACACTGTATATATATAATATACCCTATTTGTTGCCATTAAGTTTATAATATATCAAAACGAATTCAAATCAATTTGAATATCTCAAAAAGAAAATTATACTTTTATCAAATTGAAGCGATTCTTTTGTACAAAGACAATTTTACAGGACAGAAAGAAAAAAACATGAGAATAAAAAATAAGATTGTATAAATAATTATATGAGATGCAGTTTGAAAGTAGCAGTTTTAATCACTTGGAACTGAAGTTAGCGAGTGCACAGCTGGTCAAAGTCGATCTATTCCTTGTGAGATTGGGGGAAAATGTAATTGTGTTTGATCAGAAAGAGAAAGTTTTCGGGCTGGTATTTATATTGTCTCGCTCAGCCTAATTACAACCAGCAGAAGTTACCATATGGCAAGGTGTTTACATGTACCCCCTTTTCACTCTTACCGAGTCAGTTGGGAGTCATAAAAAGTCCACATCCGTTTTGCATATTTAACGTCTTTTCCTTCATATTATGCATACTTCTAGCTAAAACCACGTGGTTAGCCACGTGTTTTGTTTTAATAGCGCAGCAGATTGTTTTATGTTTCTCTACTCTTCCCTTCCATCTCCAATAATGACTTTGATTGAAAGCGTGGAAGGTTGTAAACTTTATTGTGGGTCATAACAGATTTGTTTACAGCTGTTGCGTAGCTTCCGTTTCTTAAAGCATCTCTGTCCAGTACGCTATTGGTGGCCTCATCATTTCAATTAATCTCCAAAAACAATTTCACCGATACTCATTATATTTCGTATCATGTAATACATGCGCGCGCTCACACACCTAAACACATCCCCCACACACATATATATAGGCCTATATATATATATATATATGCGCGCACGCGTCCGTGTGTACAGTACATACATAGATTATATGACACGAAATTAAAGAGCATATCTTTTTCTACTATAGAATTAAATAATGTACGATGTTGTATAATGTGTTACGATATAATATGACGAGATGGTAGGAAATCCTTCCTATTATATAAAATTAAAACGTAGACATAAATTTATGTTCTTCGAAGCTAATCAATCTATTAACTATAACCTGTAAAATGTATTTAAAATAAATATTTTAGTATTTTCTATAGGAAGAATATAACTCAAAAGATTTTAAAATGACTTATCATTCTTTAAACTCCTATTAAGAAATGATGTGTTTAGGATTTTTCATTTATTTTTCAGAAGTTCTATATTAATAGGTCTAAATATAGTTAATAGTTTATTAGAAAAGATAGATTCGTGCTTTCTGTATTTAGTTGTAGCCTACCTATACTAATACTAGAATTTTGCGTGTCGTTTATTCTGTTCAATAGATAATTGTATTGTTCAATTTTTATAATAAATATATCCATAATTACTAGGATTATTATAAAAATTGTAATAAGTTATTATACGTACTTGAATAATATTAAATAAACATTATTGTATTACCGAAATATGTACATTGTGTAGGTTAAAATAACCCTCACATAATACTGTTTACAATAGTAGTAACGAAGTAGGTCTTTACAATTAATATGTGAACTTAGATTTGTATTGTATGCTGAGTTAGAGATGAAAGAGATTGGTTTTAATTACTGTAAATTATGTTTGATCTGATTTCATTGGTTTTATTATTGTCACGTCGGTATTCTAAAGATATTAAGATTATCGCTATTACGTCATATTTCATTAGTAATTCCTGTATTGGTCACGGGTGGTTACCAGAATAGAGTAACACAGAGATTTCGTAATAACGAGGGAGTTGCAGGCCGAAAAATTCGATCCTTTAGTAATGAAAATTGGATAGTTTTCTGGAATAAAGGGGATGCGAGCGTGATGACGTATTTTGCCGTCAGATGGCGCATCGAGCGTATCGTTAAAGCGCGATTATCGATCACGTAGGGTGGACAAGTCTCTCGGTATCGGTCACAAAAACACGAGGAATAAAGAAAATCCGAGAGTCACGCAATAATTAAGAAGAAACATTGGGAGGTTCGATAGAAGTCACGTGCAGGTGACCGAAATGATTAGGGGGATGGCGCATGTCGCCATATCCGTCCTTTCCATCTCTGTCGCGTTGCCATGGGAACTAGAATAAGAAAGGGGGGAACTCGGGTTGCTCATCTGTCATACACCATCAATGCAGATCGTAGCCGTAGGGGGAGAGCTTCGTATATCTGGATCGCATTCGCCATTCTGAGAGTACTTTTAGCGAGATTGTATAGGCCAGCAGACAAAATTTGTACCCGGACCGTTATACGTCGGAAGCCGATCGTAAAGGGGCGTAAAGGGAATGGTTCATTCCACTTTCGCTATCGTCGTGTTGCCGACCGAATGACCAGAGCGTTGCGAAAATCATTCTAATGGGATTTCTGTTAACTCCGTTACACTTCCATCCGTCAGCGCCAGATGTCAGTCTCTATTCTCTCATCCTCTTTCATTTCCTCTTCCCTCCTTTTTAAAAATTCCGATCGTTTAAAAATCTCGGTGTAACAAAGAAACTTCCCACAACTATGAAGTGGGTTATATTTAGAGCGTTCGCGATATGACTCAGGCGAAAGCGATAAGAAGCGCGTTCTACACATCTGGTCGCTTCACAGAGATACGACCGGGGAGAACTTGGACCCTTTTTTTATTCTCCGACATTTTTCTTACTTCTCTAGGTTAATATTTCGGGATGAATCTGCGATAAATTTTCATTCACCTCCGTCCCCGAATTACAAAGGAGTAACGATAAAAGACGATCAAAATAAGGGGTAAAATCACTTAACAAGGAATAAAAACTGAAGCGATATGTTAATTGGATAAAAATTATCAGTGGTCTACACTCTACGGTGTATTTTGTCCGAGAAGCCCTACAACAACGACAAAAATAATTTAAAATGAAATCAAAAGACGATTCAAAGTCTATTACAAATAAATTTAGTGTAAATAAAATTGGAATCTGTAATAATAACTGATCTTCGTGATTATATATAATACTATATTCTGTAAATATATATATGTATAATTTTCTACAGTAATGTAATTTTTCTATAGTATATATAGCCTAAATATATCTTACGTAGGTTAAATATAATTACACGGCCGAAAAATCAACGTCCACGTACAGTACATATAAGTTACAGATATGCATATTATATATGTGGGTAGAAAATTATATATCTATTTATTTTATACGTAGGATGTTATATATGTTTATAATTATTTGCAGAATATACGATAATGTATAATTACGAAGACCAGTTGTTATTATATATGCGACGATTGTATTCCCTTTCAATTTTATTTACATTAAATTTATTTGTAATAAAGATCGAATCGAGCGTACTAACGCATTTTTAATTTCATTTGAAATTATGAGAAAGACTTAAGAACACCAAATATTTGTTTACGTTGCAGGGATTGACGCTCGTCGTTTCCGGTTTGGCTTATTTTCTGACGATTTCAGTGGCGGTTTCACCATTCGTTTCCTCTTTTCCCGTTTGGTAAGTTCTTTTTTTTCTATTCAGTCCGTTTTCGTATGAATTTCGACTTTGTAAGAATTAAACTTCTTTCAGGGTTCGTTGGACTTTGGCCGTTTGCTCTTTGGTTTCGATCTGCGTCACCATCCACAACGACTACGGTGGGTGGAAGCATTTGCACCCGTCCGAGGAAAAGACCCGGTGTTTACAATTCCATTTTTTATCCGTTACGTTTTTTTTGCAGGTATCATCAGCGATTGTGCCTCCGTCTCTTTACTTTCTTGGCTGGTGCTGTGTGATGGCCCGGGGGAAACTTACGCCGGATCCCGGTTTACCGACGAACAGTTTAAAGAGTACGTCTTCCTCTATTTTACCTGGCCCAAAAAACGATTTGCCTAACGCCAAAGGTGCGCCCGAAAATAGAAACGAAACGACTTTCGTCGGCGGATGTCGCTTTCCGAAGGAGGCGACGAGCGTCGTCACCGTCGACGGTGACGTGCGGTAAAAAGTAGCGGAAGCTAACGGGCGAAGGGAAGGTGGAAGGGGCGGTCGGGGAAAGCGGGGGTTTGGCGCCGACGAAAATTGGAAGAAAAAGAGGTTCCGCCAACGATAAGGTCGATTCGGGTAGAAAGGTCACGCGTCGGATGCGTCGCGCGCGACCTTATCTGTCGAGGGCCATTGCCGGTGGCGCCGTCTTTGGCGGATTAGTTAGGTGGACTGCGCTCTCTTAATACGACATTTTCGTCCGTTTCTGATTTGTTTACAATGACGTGATGGATGGTCGAGTGGAAATCTCTCCGCGCCAGGTTAATAGCCGGCGGAAAATCTCGAGCATTTGTCATCATTAAGATCGCGTTGGACGAGATCCGCCGATTATTCGCCGTCTTATCTACCGGCCGGGAAAAAGACGCCGGCCCGAGTATTAAGCTCCAATTAGACCCGTAACCCTTCCTTCCCCGCCCGACTTCCGCTCGGTGGCGCGCGGAAGTCGGGCGGGTTTTGGTGGGAGATGCCCGTTCGCGCGCGCGGCGGCGGAGGACGAATGCCGGAAATTCGGAATTCCGATAAATCGCGAGATAATCACCGGCCCTGCCTTTTCCTTGTTTCGCTACTCTCTTCCCTCCCCCTTCGTGTACCGGCTTTAATCTTCGTTCCCTTCGGATTAACATAATACACGCGCGGGAGCCGGGAGCCGATTTTTTCCTTTCTCCGTGGCGGTCGGAAAAAAATCATTCTCTGCTTAACGAAAATGACGTCCCGAAAATTTGTCTGGTTCTCGTCGGCCGATTATCGTAACCGCGGTAGAAACGTCTCGGAATACACCTCTTCCGCCAAAACCGAAAAAATCGCTCCGGATGGAAAACGAAAATAGTCGGAAAGAGCCGAGATCGGACGTCGATATTTAAATGGAAAGGTGGTTCCGTGTGACGTCAGATATGGTAATACGTCGGGCGAGAGGAGGAGAGGAGGTCCTCCCGGCTATCTGTCCTGGAAACGCTTTAATTAGGACTACAAGGAATTTGTGGGAATCGGACGGTCTTCCCCTCTCCTCCTTCCTCCCGGTCCTCGTCCGGATGACGTGTTCCTTGATTTATTATTATTTTGCCGTACTTCGCGTCCCTCCGAGACACCGACTTTCTCTCGCCGCCGCATAATTGTTCTCGTTATTATTATCATTTTCCCGCGTATCCTCTTTTCCCGAAAAGGAATTTTACGAAATTCGTCTTTCGCCTCAAAGACGAATTTCGTAAAATCCCGCTCACCGCCCGGAAAATCGCGGAAATTCGTGGATTCTCTTCCGAGTTTTTCCACGTTTTTGCCTCGTTGAATTTAAATATTCTCCGTTATTTAGCATTAATTTGAGCGATTGAATTGATCCACTTCAGTTAAAGATCGATCATAAAGGAGGTGGTCGAATTTAATGACGATTTTACACGTTTAAATTTTTTTATAAAACCAATCCCGCTCTGAAAATTACGCTTTTTGCCATTTTATAATAGTTAAAAATATAAAAAGTTTTAAAAATAAATATCGTAACAGTTGCCGGGAAAGTTAAGCAACTGGTATTTCGGGTTGCCGTCGTTTGTCGCCTAATTCGTTCTTTTAATCGCTTTCTTTTTATACGAAGAAAGTTGCGGTAGGAAAATGTCTTTCTCGTAATTTCTGTGATTAAAAAAACCGAGATTCTCGGGCAAAGTATAAATAAGGATTTAGGCAAAAAGTGGTGTTTGTCCATACAATTTATATATTTACTCTTTTTAAGAAATTATATCCGGAGGGTGAAATATCGACTTATTGCACTTATTTAATAAAAGCCTACTAGGATATTTTTATATCAACTTAAGAAGTACTTGATTCTATCAAGTGTATCCATTAGGGCTTAATAAATGTATTGGGAAAAATGGGAATCTGATTTCCTTCATAAATCACGGAGCAAAGAAATAAAGTTTCCAGCTGCTATTACGTCCGGTGGCATTCCCTCAAGGCTCTGTGTGTGTGTGTACGTCGACCCTCTCGGGGACGCTTTTTAAGTCGACTAAGCCGTAAATATTCCTTATTTTAAATACGGAATGCGTTAATGCTGCGAGAAATTTGTGGATTTCTGAGCGTTGCGATAAAATGATCTGGCTTAAAGTGTGCGCAAACAGTAAGGCGATTATAAAGTGTTAATCGTAATCTCGTGTCGATAATTACTTTCGACTATTTGGAGTTTTATCGGAGTGGCGAAGGTGGCTTTAAGAAGAGTGACAATCGCTATACAAACTGAGAAGCAGGTATCGAGAGTGATTGATCGAAGAGCATTCGATGTAAGACTTTCGTCTCCACTACAAACAAATAAAGCAGCAAACAAAACGTCTGTTCGTCTCCTCGGGTTTTTCTAACACCCATCTACTCATTTCCTGATCTCGTCAACTTTTCTTTCCTCCGTTCGCTCTGCTGCACTACTTCCGTCCGAGACGCACTTGGAAATGTTCAACCACCGAACGGAATAAGCACACAATTAGGAGATTCGGCGGAAAGAAAAGCATCTCCTTTCTAAACAAAAAAGAAAATACGGAACGAGCGGGAACGTCCCCAAATTTTTCTCGTCGTCCGCCACAAAAACTGCCTTTGATGGATTGACGTTACGTAACACACCAGACAGACGGAATCGACTTAAGTCTAACGAAGTGTATAAATTTCTTGGGTTTCTTCAATTGCCGACAGCCTTTCTACAAATATTCTCTCGATACCGTTTCTCCCCGCGCTGTCATCTACTATGAATTATTTAACCCTAGCTGCTATCCTAGTAATTTACCTATAATGAGGACGGTGTATTTTTAATTAAAGTAATTAACTAGACAGCTGACGACGATCGAGAGGAGACTCTCACCCCTGACGGGGACGAGACGAACTGCTGCGGCCGGTGACGTCAGCAATCCGCTAGCCGCAACACCGAATCGTTTGTCCCCTTTTTCTGTCTCGTTCGTTCGCTTTTCTTGCTCTTTTTTCCTTTCTTTTCTCCGGCTTCTTTCGTTTCGCGTGCGCGTGTGCTTCGCTTTCACTACTTTTAATTAAGCGACACTATCCAAAAGAGGTGGAGACTTCGAACAGCAGGAAAGTTAGAAGACGAGCGTTGATTGGATCTTAACCCGACACGATTGTAAATGGAAGCGACCTGTCATTTTCTACCCTCCCTTGTCTCTCAACTCTTGGTTTCCTAAAGTTTTTCTCTTTGTTTTTTTCCCTCGGAATGTTTTAATTTTCTCTCTCCGCGCTCGAATTTCGCGCCAATAACGGTCGGCGCATCTCGACTGTCATTTCCACGTGCTAACCGTGATATATGAATGAAAGCATCGATGTCCAATTTGCATGCGAATTGCTCGGTCCTTTAGCACCTTGGCTGGCATTTTTCGTCCCCGCTCCCATTAGCCTTTGATCGAGGAGTTATATTTTCTAACTGCTTCTCGGCTTTTATGTCTTAGCCGTGAGTCGTTCGAACTCTGAATACATTGTTTATTTTTGTTTTTCCCTTTTTCGCCGCTTCGACTAACTGTCGCTGGAATCGCTCCGCTAGAAAATGTTTACCTCGGGATTATTTGTAAATCCTAAATAAACAAATCTGCAACAGTGAATTGAACGTTGCAAAGCCGAAAGCAATCCCGGGGATTCAAAGCTATTTACGTCGAATAAAGAAGGGAGAAAAAAAGGCCAGCAAGAAAAAAATATATATCAAATGCAGGCAGAATATCGAATGTTGGCGAGTCGTGTTACAAAGCCCGAATCATCAGTCTTAAGAATAAATTGGAAAAACGATGCTTTCAGCCGGGCGATAAGAATTGTGCGAGTGCGTATTAAGGATTACAATCCAGATAGGAATTGCTAGGCGATATCAAATTATTCCACACCCAGACGGCAGCCAAATTAGGTCTAACGAGTGATGCAGTTCCTAGCAAAACTGAGCTACGACTTCTTTCCTTTAATTAATCCTTCGGTCGGAAGGATAACTGTCACAGTCTAACTCATCTGTCATCTTTCTGCATCTCGGCAGAAATTTTCCTCACTCCTTATCTCCTTTTAACGGTGAATTTAGTCTATAAGGTTACATACATCGGGATAGGCAAGCTTCCAGAATCGATGTAGCAAATTGCAAATCCAATATTTTCAGCCAAGACGTTGGGTGAAGGTTTATCAGAAGCGGTGAACGATTCCGCTCTTTATGTAAACCGACAGTCTTTCACCAGATGGGGGCATACATAAAAGTCCTTGTTATCGCTTCCTTGCTCGCGCCGCTTCGGACCAAATGCTTCTATATATCTCATTCATAACGGTTCTTTGCCGCGATGTGTGCAAGAATTCCTATACGACTTGCATATTTATAAGAAGTGCCACCGATCTTTAATCTAAGTGAAACCCTCCACCTTTGTTATAAACTATATTCCATCGATCGTTACCAATTTTAATACTGTTGAATTTTCCCTCCTCTAAAACAATTCCCATTCCGTCCACACATTTCAAATCTTTACTTCTTAATTTCCGACTTCGTTTTTGTTAATTTTCCACGACGGAAACGACGTAATGCTCGACGTAACATATGTTTAAATCTGCATTAATGTTTCGTTTGTGTACGACGTGCATACAACGAAAAGATTACGTATCCGAATAAAAAACGAAGAGAATTCGAATGGTTAAGCTTCTTTAAAATTGATTTATCCTTATTTTTTGGAAAATTGGATTTTATAAGGTATTTGATTTTCTAAAGGCTTGTTCATAAATTTCAAGGGGATATACTGCCGACTCTACAGATATCTACCAGATTCAGTTTGGGAAAATGTTAGGATATGACAAGATTGGGGTTGTTTTTCAATAAGTTTAATTGAGATGACAAAGGTTATAAATCTCTTCGACTAGAAAAAAAATATATATTTAGGCCAAAGAGGAATTTTATTGGATATCGATATTAAAATTTCTAAAGAATAATGGAGAATGCGGTTCGTACGAAAGACGGAAGCAGAGTTCTCCTTTGAAAAAATCGTGTATGTGGACGTATTTACACTCGTCCTCGAATGGGATTGGGTGTATTCGTTTTTTTTACGCGGTTGGAAACAGCTGACTTGTATCCACCGATACAAAAACAAAGTACGTTTGTAAACATATTTATATTAATGTCGCCTATAAAAATTGATCTTTAATTAATTATTTTTTAACACGCCGATCGCTATTAATCTTTCACCTTTTGAGTTTCGATGGAAACCGTTCGCTGCCATTTAAGAACTTCGATTAACTCCATATTTTAAGAAAGTATTTTCTAACATGCAAGGTGTACTCTGACGTAATACACGCATATTCGACGGTTTATTTACTTTTATCTTATTTAAATGTGCGAGAACTTTTTAATTTTCTTATTTTAAAAGTTTTACTTTATGTACTGCGATTTTATATCTACCCGACTAGCGTTACCGCAGACATAAATAGGAAAATTACAGTTTTTATTCTTTAAAAAATTTCTGAATATATTTTATAAATTAATCAAATTACTCCAGATTGTGGAATAGAGAAAAACGAATTTAACGCTGTATGCGGAGGTGTTTAATACGCTCCACACCGAGCGACCGAAAGTAAAAAGTACGAGCTAATAAACCCACCGACACGTAATAATTTCAATAAATACGGTAGAAAGATATATTCGTTTTAGCGCCAGTCAAATATATCGAAAGACTTTAAAATGTCTGTCGAGAATTGGTGCGATTGATTCCTCTCTTTCCATTTCCGAAGTGTGGCCGTGGCGCAGAAAATGGTGAATTTGACACGTTCAAACGGACGTATGCACAAAATAAGCAAACCCGTCCGACATGTCAAACACAGGTAGATGCTTTTTCCTAGAACATTTTTATAGGAAGGGAGAAAAACGTTTCGTGCGAGTGTGAATCAAAATGTAAAAGTACGAGTATAGATATAGTAATATTATCGACAGACAGGCCAAACCTTTGGAAATCTCTATTTTTGTGTAGTAACGCGCTTTTACTTTCCCCTTTCTGTTATATATAATAGAGGAAAAATATGACCATCGGTCAAAAAAATGATCCTCCCAAGATTTTTAGTTTTGGACTAGGAACCTTCGAACGTCGAGAAATGCAAAAATCGGGGTTTTTTTTTCTGTATGAATGGGGGCACGATTTTGTTCATCCCGTTTGAAGCTTAATAACTCCCGTGTTTTTTGTGGAAAGTTTCTGAAATTTTGCCTAGAGGTTTGTTTATTAGGGAGATCGATACTGTTAAATTTTGGTGATTAAAGTTCGAGAGGATGGAAAGATAAAGGGGGTCGCGTGTATCTTTAGTACGGTCGGATTTAATGACGATTTTCCTCGTTATTATCATTTACAATTTTTAATAAACCCGTCCCTACCCTCAAAGTAAAACTTTTTGCCATTTTATAATAGTTAAATATATAAAAAGTTTTTATTTTATTAAAATATGGTAACAGATGGCGCCACCAAAATTTTAAACGTTGCCGATAAAGTTAAACAACTTAGTTTGTTGGATTTCTTATTAGATGGCTTAATTTATTCGCTTAAAGCCGAGTCGAAATACCCTATTTTTGTAATCGCTACTTATTATTTTTAAAGAGTTAATACACGTACTGTACTGTACATATTGTAAACTTATATAAGAATAATACAGTCGACCCCCCTATATCACTGTTGATAATTCCGTTTTATATGAATTCCATGTTGTACGAGTCACTTAGATTTTACAAATATGTGTGCCGGGCTGTGAACGGCTCACGGATTTGTAAAATCTAAGTGACTCGTACAACATAGAATTCATATAAAACGGAATTATCAACAGTGTTATAGGGGGGGTCGACTTGTATCTGTAAGCTTGTCGAGGAAAACTTTCGGATAATAACTCGGAAAAGATGCACGTATTCTTACGTTTGTGAATGGAGAATAAAAGAAACGTCACATTCAATTGGCGTTTTAAGAGAGAGGTAAAATAAAGAAGAAAATGGTCCCCTTAAAAATCACTTTTCACTTACGTCGCGCTCGCTTACTCGTAATTTAGAACGTAGAAAAGATTAAGTGCCGAAAAGGAAACTCGCTACCGTAATTAATATTAAGTTAATTTGATTTTTAAAAATCGTACTATATTACTCCTAATACCGATAATTAAATTTGTTTTAATCATAATTAATTTTAGTCCGTGCATATAAATATCGAAAGTATTTTATCGTCTGGTCTTGTGCGGCATAAAATTAAATTTTCTCATTAATGCGCGGAATAACCACCCAAGGTAGTAGATAATTTGGTCGGTGTGGGGAAAAATTGCGTAGAAAATAAATTTCGTTTGTAAAGTTACTTGGCGGTTTCTTAAGATTAAAGATGGAAAAATATACGAATTCTTTCCGTTTGCAGATGGTCGGAGAAGTCGTACTTGCAGCAATTATTGGAGCTTCCGAACATGACAACAGGTAGGTAGCCGGACGAAAATCGAATGTCTTTGGGATTCGTACACGATCGGGGAGGAGATTCCTCCTAATACGGTTCGTTCATCTAGGTTGGGCCAGCTGTGCCTGGCATTGATGGAGATTGGCCGAGCCGGAGTGGTCCATCTAGCGCATATCTCATCGTCCTTTGCATTACCAACATAACCAGACGCATTTAAAATGCCGGCTGCGGTGACGACGTCTGCCCGCATAGAGAGACTCGACGGTAGTAAAAGCCGTGTTTCGAACCATTCGACACTCGTAGATCTGTCCCGGTAGTCGGCAGATGACACCGACGACCAATAGGCAACACCTGTTCGTGACAGAAGCGCTAGCCGGTGGCTGGCTGCAGCCATTGCCTGTAATTAATAAATAAGAAAAAGTAACAGGATCTATCGCGTCGTCCGGCAGCTGCTGCTACGTCTTTCACATTTCTATAATCCGCTTCGTTCCCACCGTAAATATACGACGACCGGCAACGATAAACTTCCACCGGCTCCTCCGGATTCAGCTCTTAAAAAATACGACTGAAAACACCTTCTACTTCATTTGTGGCCCGGAAAATTCGGTTTATAGTCGGCAGCCCGTCTAACACCACCTTTATTTAAATTTCGTCGAGTTTTGTTATACACACAAGTGTCAATAAGTTAGGGTATTTTTGTAGAACTGTTTGGCAAGATCGTTTCGGTGACTGGGCGGTTCAATTAAGGATAAATAGGTGGAAAATATTACGGCGTTAGTAATACAGAATAATTTAACGCCACACGAATTAAGTAGCTTCGGAGGCATAGAAGGCGATTTGTCTACCTTGCCTACGAGTTAAGTAGCTTTTGTAAAGACGTGGCTGGGAGTTTCGAAAAATCAAATAAATCGTTATTATTGAACTTTGACCGTCGATGTCTAATTGTAATTAATCTGGAATTGGTGTCGATTTCTGGAAAAAAATTCCAGCGTGATAACAGGGTAAATTATTTCTTTGTTTTAGTTGGACCGCGAAAACAACTACTTAATCTTTGTCTTTTACAGCCTACGACAGTAAATATTTACGGTTGATGAGAGAACACTACTCGTTGGAAGTGTGGATCTTCTTGGGGTCGAGAATATTTTTGGTGGTGACTTTTCTACGGAAATATTTATCTCAGGTAAGGCTTTTTCGGAAAATACGAGGCGCGAAAATCCTTTTACGTCACGGCGGCCTCGACTATTAGTCGTGGTGACGGGCTACAGGAGAATGCTTCCAACAATCTGCAATATGTACATCCTTACCTTAAATGTTGTATGGCGACGGGACGTGTGGGAACAAGGCAGTTCCCATAGCAACCGAAGCGCCGGGTTCCGGGGAATCCGTGGCCACGGCCCGAGCAGGTGTGCGCGCGGTCGAAGGATGGATATGGAATTTCTCTTTAGATTTAACCGCGCCGAGTGGACTTAATCGCGGAACAAAGGCTCTGCTAACAATGGCTCTCTGTGACTAGTCGAGCGAAAGGACATGCCGTATCAGCATTTGTCGGACGCCGCGCGTGGACTATCGCGCTCTCATCGAAGTCTTTTCGAGTGGTTCCGGTCTTTCGCCTGGCGTCACGCGCTCGTTTGTGGTTGCGGAACGTTGTCGGTCGCCTTCGATGGGACGATACGCGATCCTCCCGTGCACTTTCGGGCACGAGAACATTTTTAAATCGCCCGGAAAATAAGTACGTCTTCCATCCGCACGTCTGCTTTTTCCCCGAGCCATTGATAATTATTCTGTGAAAACGGATAAATATTCCTTTTGGCTCCGATTTAATTGACGACTCGTCTCTATTAAACTCGCTTATCCGGGTTTTGGGCGAATTTTCCACGGATAATTGCATTATTCTTTGGGATTTTCCGCCCGACGATTAATACCGTACGCGCACCGGCAGAAACGTGTGCTGTTTTTCGTCGGGTTACGCCGACAAATGGTGACGGATGGTCCCAATGAGGTTGACAGACAGTCGGAGCGTAACAACTTATCCCGACAGACACTGGTTTCTGACAAATCGTTTGCATCATCCGGATCGACTTATGTAAATGGTCACCAGATTTGGACGGTTTCCAGATAATAAGAATACCTGAAAGGTCGATCGCGCTTATAAAACACAATAGATGTCTCGAAAAACCATGTCGTGTGTAGGAATTAAGTCTCTCTTGTCCTCTTCGTCTCCTCTTGTCTCTATAATGTGTACGAGGCGGATGACGAGGTGCTGCATACGAGACTATCAGTCACGCCATGTTGCCGTCAATATACCATTACGAGTCCCTCTGAGGGTCCGGGGATGACCCCAGGGTACCAATCCCTCATCCATCATAACCGCTACACTAGGGATCGTGCATTTACTTCGCATCCCCGGAGTTAAACAGAAAAGTTTTTCCCTATTTCCCTCGTGACCAATTTGCGACACTTTAAAAACAGTTTTTTCTCCGACTTTCGTTAGGGTTTTTTGCCGACGAATTTATCCCTGCTCCGAAATAAGCGAATTCGTCTTTACCGACGTTTTTCTCGTCTCCATCTTTCGCAATCTTAATTAAAACAAAAGGAATTGATATGGCTGCAGTCGATAAACAAGTCCCTGTTACCTTCGAAATCAACTTCTCTGGCAAATTTAAGAATATTTAAATAGATCATTAAGTGTCACTTTTAAATTACAGTCTTCTTCTCGGACAATTATGGACAAATGTTACTCCCAGGTAATTTCCTTCGACAATGATCCTTAATTGAGAATTGAAAAGTAGTTATTAATCTAGTCGTGTGCTTTTCTGTCTCTTTTTTTGTTGTCATTAGCTCGGTTCGGGGACGACTTGGTTGGGTGGAGTGACGGAGACTCCTCTTCTTTCTTCCTTCTTCCCTTTTTTTTTATTTTGTTTCGCTCGTGCTGATGGATTTTTCTTCTCTAATATCTCAGTTACAGGAATTGAATTTTCTTTCCGAGTATTGTTTTATCAGTTTAGAAAATCAAAAATTACAATTTAATCACTCTCGAAATGTTCGTTAATCATATACTTTGTTGGATTAATAATTTTACATTATTTGTTCGTCAATTAATCTTGACGCTGGGGAAATTTCGAGATAATCAATTGTGTATTACGAGACTTTTTCACTCGAAAGATGCCATGGCGATCGTTAGTTGCGAGTTTCCGCAATATTTTCTAATCCGAAGAGTTCGCAGCCGCACTTTATTACGAAAGACACTTATCCGTCCACGGTCTCGTAATCCAGTTACAGATTCGTTATTGCTCAGACATTGAAGGATCTTCTCTCCCGGGCCCATCTAAAACCCTCGCTTCGTCGTCCATTGATTGGTGGCAAGTGTCCTTTGTCAATTAATTACCTCGTACTCTTTACCGTGTCAGTAACATGGGCAGCGCCGGGCACGGAGTATAGGTCGACTTCTAATGACTTGGAAACTTGGCAGAATCGTTCTGCTTGTCGTCACACGTATTATAAATTTTCGTACCGACGTTCATAAATTTTGTCTTAACCGAAAACTAAAATACCCCGCAGGAAAAGCTTTAAAAATGTCCAGATGGAATCCCAGTTAATTTCAATGGATATATTAGGCGAGAACCGAGTAGACGAGTATACTTTTATTTAGGAAATTTTAACTTTTCAATCTCTCTACGTCATCTGTTTAAGTCATCGATAGCAGTTATTATAATTTGGTTAATTTATTACACCATCGCTCGATAATTTATAATTCGCCGGGTTATAAATTATAACAATGTCCGTTTCCCGACGTTAATTTAATTTCGAATGCGTATTTGATAAACAAGATTGTAAAACAGAACGTACTAACTTTGCAGGAAGAAGACGACAACGTTTCTGCCGTCGTGCTCAAAGTGGCCGCAGTCTATCTCTACACACAAGCGGTGGTTAAAAGACTCTGGGGACATCCCTCCTATCTGGCAATGGGACGTTTGCTTCAAGCTGTCGGTCTCGACATTCTCTACGTCGTCTCGCTTCTGTCTCGAGAAGACGTCTGGGAGTGACTGCCGTTCCCATGCCACACGCTCGCTCGACAAGACCGGCTTACGTAAGAAACGACGTTCAGAGATTTTTCCCTATTAAAAATTTTTTCTTTACGAAAGTAACGGCTTCCAACCGTCTGGCTTACTTTATCTCCTCACCACGCCGAATAATGCCTTTAAAGTTCGATCCCGGACGACAGATTAACGGCGCAAAAAGGCTCTTCCGACCGCGTTAAGCGGGCAACAATTTTAACCGTATGCAAGAACGTGACATTTTTCATCCAACTAACCCATCCTGACGCAGCACATAACCCCTAATGTTACGGCACACGTCGGTCATAGGTTTCTCTCGACTCCCGACTAAGTAAGTAGAGGATATGAATGTCCATGCTTTGCTTTACAAAGGCTGCACACTCACGTACAATGCGACACCTGACGCAGCAGTTTCTCGTCGGCTCGAGCCATTTACTTTTACATCTTTGCTTCGTGACATTCACCTTGATGGGATTCGACTACAGTATCATCCGCTTTATTCTTATATGGATGGTGGAAATTCTTTATGCCGGATACATTTTTACGAAAAATGTGCGCCGCTGTCTTAAGATATTTTTGTCGATCGTTCGTAAGAAGGAAATAAATAAATAAAAAGATTGGCGTCCGAGCCACAAACTTGTCGACAAAATGCTGTTGAGTGGCGTCGAATTACTAATTCCGAAAAACTCTTGTAAAAAGCGAAAAATAGCGGATAAATTTCCTGCTTTATAGGCTAAGAAAACCAAAGGTGGGATTTTCCATCCTTAAACATAATCGAATCCCGAACCGTGTATAGAAACCATCGGTCGAGTGAGATGATCTATGAGTTCCATCGTCTTCTATTCCACACACATGCTATTGACTAGTCTTTGCACGATCTCATTCTTCATTCCACACATGAATCCTAACACTACCTGGTATATATCCCGTTTTCCGTCAACCAATCGGAATCTCTTTCTGCTTACGGCCTGAAAATAACCCGACATTTGTACTTACTTCCCCCATTTTAACACGCACCGCTTGCAATTTAAATGTAGTTAATGGGTAGCATTTATAACTTCAGTATCTTAACGAGCCTTACATCTGTGAAATGAAACGTTCCCGACGTATTACGTGTAACGTTTGTATTCCGTAACACACTAGTTTTTTTTTTCAAACTCGAACATCCGAGAGAATTATTTTCAATCCTACAATGAAGTCATTTATATCAACTTACACCAAAGTTAAAAAAAAAAAACTTTACGACTTTTTTCGGTTGTATAGTAGCGCCAAGGAAAACAGTAGAGACTTTTATGAAAGTGAGCATCTCTCTCTTTCCACGTCACCTATCAACTTTTTTGTCGTTTTATGAAGTCCTTTTCTGTAGCAACGATGGCTCCGTCCCATTATGTAAGGCAGCAAAACATGGCAAATGTCTTCACTTAGAACAGTTATTCGGCACGGCCGCTTTAATAGTGTCCTCCAGTCATTGTGAGGTTGGCTCTTATACGGTAGTTTTTCACGCTACCGTCACGTTTGTACTTCACATCACGTTTTCTCTCACGCAGAATATATGCGATACGTGCGCTCTCCCCTTTTTAACAACAGTTTGGGGTATAATTAAACACGGATATAAAAACCATCCATCCCCATTAGATATTCTGCACCGCGCAATAAAAATAACAATACAGTGTCTCGAAGGAGGGACGTTATTAAATTCCTTAGTAAGTCAATGAGGATTAATAATGATTTAATCAAGCGGCCATTTTTTTAAACGGTCAAATTTTAATTAAATAAATTATCGAACGGTATACTAAATTAATAAACAATAAAAGCGGCTAATTACGTGGCTTTATTTGTTTATTTTTATTCTTTTGGTCGTCGATCGTAGACAATAATCGGGCGACCGCGTTATTGGATACAACAGATTTAGTTTAAGCGCCGGCAATAAACTTATCTGGCAATTCGATCGTCGACCGTCCACCAATCAACAGCATTCGATTGCGAAGTAAAGCGGGTCGAATGCGGATATCCTGGCATTTCGCACGGTATTTCTTTCGTCGCTCGTCTTGTCTGTTCCGTCGCCAGACCCTCCAATATATTTAGCAACTTCTCTCGATCGGGAAGAGAAGAAAGAAAGATCGTTTCCCGCACTTACGTCATCACTGGCGTCATACCTCCGCTCGGCTGGGTTTGGATGGTTCAGTCGCGGCGAAGATAAACGCAAGAAGGACCGAACGACAGATGGAAATGACCGAAAAGGTTGCCGAAGAGTGTCTCCAAGACATTTCCGACTTGTAAGTACCGACCTGCCCTTTCTTCTTATCCTCCGGCCGCGATGTCCGCCCGTGACGTCACCACTCCATCTTGTTTTTTTTTTTTAGCGGTTACAGGTCGCAAAGTTTTTAAGACTATTTTCGCCCGGCCGAATAGAATTGATCAATTCCGCGGTTTCTTCGGACGACGCCTAATAATTAACTTTAAAAGTAACCGGAAGTGGGGGGTTTTTCCTCCTCTGATGGGTTATTAAAGCGCGTTGGCTCGCAAATTGTCTCTGGGTTATCTTGCCGTGTTGCGTCTTTTAATTTCGTTCGCCGCTCGTCCCTGCACAATGTCAATTTATCAACTCTCTTTAGTTTCGGCAACGATCTGATTTATTATAAACTTTGCTCGAGTCGTATATCTTTTCCTCGCACTTCCGCATTGTTATCTCGCCCGATTCCGGTGGCGGACATCACATTTTTCTCTTCCCTAATTTAAATAACTTTTTAAAATACACTTTACCTTCGGACCCGCACTGGAATTAGAAGGGGACGAAAGGAAAAAAAACAACATTTTTTTTAATGCGGGGAGAAAGGGGGACTAAAGCGGGGGTTGTGTCCGGCCCGTAAAAATAACGAAAATTTAAATATTAAGAATTAAATTTCGTGGCCGGCTTCCTCTTTCCTTCGTCCGCCGTTAAATCGGCGATTTAAAAAAAATATATATAATAATAAGTCTCTCTTTCGGGATATATTTAGGGATTTCCGTGTCTCGCGCCATTTCCAGTCGTGTAGTGTAACGTTAGCCGTCGGAAGCTCGGTTGTTTTTTCGGAAACGTCCGGGTGGTGTCGCGATGCCGCGTTATCAGGTGCGCGGTAGACGTCACCCCCCCCCCGACCGGGAGAGAAGAGGGGGATGAAAGCTCGTCTGTTGAATTTTTAAACCGTTTCGGTAATTTCGGAAGGAACGCTTTCCTATCTGCGAAAACGTCAATCTCTCTTTCGACATTCGGACGTTGGCTTTTCCCTCGACGAGTGAAAAGTTTCGGGAATTTCTCGAGTCAACGTCTCGATTCGTCGTTTATAAACATTACTTTCGTGGGGTTTTTTTTGTCGCCCTCCTCCCGACTATTTATTAAATTCGACCAGAATACTTTTTAAACTTTTCCGACGCAATTAACTGTGTTCGTATAGACGGGGAGAGGGAGAGGACGTTTCCCACTTTACCTTTCGGTTATTTTTAAATTCGGACTAATATAGATTTTCCTACAATAATACGTTATTCTAAGAAAATCATAAATATGTATATAGGTCTATATGTTACTATAGACGCGTATAAATATGTATGTACTCGGGTCTACCAATTTAGAATGCTATTGGGGAATCTATGACTACTTCGTGTGTGCGCGTATATGTATATATATATATGTAATAAAAGCAATATAACTGATAGACTTTATGGAAAATGTAGTAATAATACGAATTCTATTTTATTACGTATAATATAATACGCAATTTCTAAAATAAATAAATATTCGAATTTAAGAACGGTCGTTCGTCGCTCTTCGAATTAGACTAAAAATTATCGTCGGAGCACTATAAATAATGTCGTAGATAAGTGTGCCTACTTAATTATAGTTTACCGTTAACGGATAATGTATGGTGAGATAAAAAAGTGCAGTAATTTATTGTATCGTAAATTATTTTCTTCGAATGCCTTATCTGTATATTTACCGTACACGGTAGCAGGCATTCTACGTCTTTATAGAAAATTCTGTCGTAAACGGCGTAGAATAACTCCTATTCGTTTTTTCCCTCCCCTCTTCGACTTAAAAGGGACTTTAAATTTTATGTAAAGAATTCGGTGAAAGTCTTCGTGTCATTTTTCCTTTGTGGAATTGTTTTGGAAATGTCCCGACCATAATATTTCCAGACGGATATAATTCCCGAAAACGTATTTAATTTAATTTGTTAATTATCTTTCCTTACTTTAAAACTGCCTAATTACTATGGAAAAAGTCGAATATTTCCTCTCGCCATTTTATTTTCGAAAAATAGCTTTTATTTTGATGCAGGAATGTCGGCGGTTTTCTATTCCGAATTGTATTTAATTACCATTTATAAAAATTGAAAATTTCGCACTGGAAAGTAACTTTCACTCATTAAACATCGTCAAAATGATATTTATTACCAAAGTAAACGAACGTGGACAAAGTCATAATTTCTAGGAATTTTGTTTATTAAAAACCTTACTCAATTAACATAACAAACAATATGGTACGGACGGGGTTTTATTCCGACGTCTTAGGCCAATTTTCTTCGAGTTTTTCCGATTCTATCCGCTTTATTTAAGAAGAACTACACTAGTTTTAGTCAGCGCGAGAGGACGTAGGACCGATAGAAATCCTCCGGCCGAATGCCGGAAGACACCTTTCCAACCGGACCGAGATAGCGGCCATTATCTGGAAAGGCAACGCATTGTTACGCGCTTTTTTTTTCGTGTTGTTTACCGTAATGAATACCTCTCGTCTATTTACCGCATTAACTTATCGTCGGTTGCCTTTTCCTTCCTTTTACGCGCGGCGCATCCTCGAGTGAAAATGTCATTTTGCCTCCATAAATTTTATTTCGTATTTAACTAAAGAAAGGAACATTCATTTGGTACGTTACTTCCTCTTTTTTGACACGTTCTACGTTCTTTGCGTAAAGATACAAAACATTTTTACTCCTTTAATTGCCTATTTGATCGAAACGTTCTTTCCTTGGACTAAATAAAAATATGAAAAGCGACGTGACTTTTTATAGTCACAAGGAATAAACTTTTATTTAAGTGTCGATCTAGCTTAGATTATAGGAGACTTCGGTTTCTTTTCTTTTTTTTTTTTTATAATTTGATCCTATTTAATTTCGTGCGTTAAAGCGGTGGAAATATAAGAAAAGAGACTCGAGTACGTTCTGTAGCATTTTATGGCAAATGCTACGTTACTGGCAGGAAAAATATATTCCTAGATGGATTGGAGCAGCCCGTCGGAGACGGTTACGTAAGAAAAGCCAGAGACTTTGTATAGTGCAGCGGTGCATAGAAACAATGGGCTGCCTTCTTTCGCAAAATACACTCGACGGTAGAGTTTTTGATGTGTTCGGAGAAACAAGAATAGGTCTGTAAAGCCGTTTTTCTTCGCTGGTTATTCGATGGAGTCAACTTTTCCGAAATGTTTCTGTTAGTCGTTAATTGTGACGACGATTGGTAGGCCACTGCGCCATTCGACCGGAAGTTTCCCCCGGCAAAAAGTGGAAATTTCTTTTACGTCCGGACCGGCAAAGGAGGAAAAGGCGTTTTGTTTAAGTAAATTTTATGGGACGGATCTCGGTTTATCGAAGTTCGCGCCCGACTGAACTAACTCGGATAAACCCGCGATGTATTTCTTGGCCGGTGGTCCGTCAATATTGCGAAAATAGACAAATATTTGTTTCGGCCCCTGTCGTAAGGGAATAAAAACGCGTCGGTCTTCGTCTTTTCCTTCTCCCCGCCGTGATCGAATGCTCCGTATTTCTTTCGAAAATCACCCCAGAAAAATTCTCAAAGTACACACAACGTGGAAAATTACAACGCCATTTTACCTAACAAAATCGCCCGGTTTGTAACTTCTTCTTTTTTTTATTTATTTATATACTTAAACCGTATTATTATATTACATATTTTATTATTTCTTCGCATTTAAACTGTTATTAATTTTTATTTGTCGTTAAATATTTCAGAATGTTTTTATTTGGCTAAATAATAAATTGTAAGCTGAAAAAGTAAAAAAGATCGTCTCGGCTTTTGAACGTTTCGCCGAATATCCCCTCCTCCGTTGATTTTTCATTCTTTTTTTTTTTTTCTTTTCGTTCTGTTGATCTTCATTGTGGTCGACTATCCATTTAGTAAGAATAGTGTTGCGTAGTGTTGCATTTTTATTCTCTTATCCTCTACCGATTTTCTTCTCCGTTGACAAAAGCAGGCTCTTCATTTATAGTCTCTTTTTAAGGCAAAAAAATAAAAGAATTATTTTTAAAAAGCTAGTCGGAGGCGAGTGCTTTTTAATTGTTGGAAGTTGGTCTTCTGTTGCTTCTCTTCGCTATGGCAACGGCCTTCTTCTTTCTGTTTCTTTCCCGACTTTCCTCCACGCGATCATA